TATAGTTGACTCTGACATCTCAATTTGGATGAACCTCATTTCAAGTGCTCAATAGTCATACGTAGCTAGCAGCTACCACAGGAGACAGACTGGTCTAGAAATCAGAAAGCATCCACTACAGCCTTAAGAAACTGGCTTTTCAGCTGCTCTTGATCAACAGGATTTCTTTTAATGTTCTATTTCTTACTCATGACATTGCTCTTTCCTACTGAGTGTGAAAATTTCTAAAATATCTTGTGATTGCAAAATCAACGCATTAAAACCAAACTTACCATCCCACCCCCCTCAATTAAGTAGCTCATTGTTACTTCCCTGTCTCAGATGATGATCTTCTTTTCATTATCCTGGCTTTAAATCCTGAGGCAACTTTAACATTTCCTTCTCCTTTACCAAAGCAGTCCACCAAATTACACGATTTGTTCCTTTATGGTTTCTCTTGTATTCTCAGTGAAACAAACTTAATTTAGGTCCTAAGTGGGTGGACTTATTTGTACTTCATATATTTGACAACTTCCTCTTTGGCTGTTGTGCTCAGTTTTTGTTCACTCTATTCAACAACTATTGAGTGCTTACTATATGCAAGGCATCGTTTAAGCTGCTAGAGATACAACAGTCAACACCACAGATAAATATCCAGCTCTCAAGGAACCACATTCTAATAGGGAAAAGAATCAATGCGATACCATGTGGTAATAAGGTTTTAAAGAAACACAAAGCAGAATAAGGGGACAGAGAGTGATGGAAGGTGCTATTTTAGAGAAAGTGGTCCAGGAAGATCTTCTTGAAAAGTTAAGATTTGAGCAGAGAATTGAACAAAGTGAAGAAACAAGCCATGCAGATCTGAGGAAAGTGGGTTCCATGGGGAGGGACTGGCAGATGCAAAGGCCCTGAGATGGATTAAGCTTGGGATGTGTGTTCCAGGAACTCCAATAGTCCAGTATGACTGTGAAAAAGAAAGGCAGAGAGTGGCAGAAGATTATGTCGGCAATGCAGCCCGAGGGCAAATCATGAGGCTACTGCAGACCATAGTAAGAGTGTGGATTGTACTCTAAAGGTTATAGGAAGCCACAGGAGGGTTTGAAGCAGGAGAGTAACATGATTCGACTTCACACTGAAGAGCATCACTTTGGCTGGTTGGATAATAAATTGCAGGCGGGCAAGAACAGAAGCAGGGAGACCACATGGAGGTTCCAGCTGCAGTGCAGGAGAGAACTGCAAGTGGCTTGGACTAGGGGGGTAGGGGAGGAAGTGGTGAGAAATGAGCAGATCCTGGATGTGCTCTGAAGGGAGGGCAGTAGGAGATGCTGATGCACTGGCTGTGCAGAGAGACAGGAGTCAGAGATGGCTGAGCAGTGAGCAGACAGCAGTGTCCAGGATGAGCAGTCTGGCTTAGGTTGAGGGGTGATAGAGGGGCGTGTGGTGTGATGTGTATTCAAGAGTTCTGTTTCTACCCTTTAATTTAGATATCTATATTGAGATGTTTCTATTTCATTGTCACTTCAATATTACAGCCATACTAAGCTTCCTAAAATAAAATTGTCAGCATGTTATTCCCCTGTCCATAAACCTTTGACAGAATCTCAGTTTAATCAGTAAACTTTGAACTCCTAAGCCTGTAAGTCAAAGTTTTGCATAACGACCTCTCTCCCCAACTGTCTCCACCTCTTGTTTTTCTGAATTCCTCACAGTGCCTTGGAGGTAAGAGTATTCAACGAAATGTTTGTTGAGTGAATAAAAATATTAGTGTTCATCCTTCACCCTGTCCAAGAGTCATGCTAGAGCTGACCTCCTCAATGAAATTGTCCCCAATCACATTGGCTATATTGCTCTTTCTCCACCCCATACTCCTACCAGTGATATGCTGGTGAATGTGTACCAGCTCTCCGAAAAAGAAAGCCCTGGTGTGTAGCATTTGCTGATATCTGTGGTGTCAACACTCCCACCATGGATGACTGCAAGCCACCAACATGATGTCCCGAACATGCAGCTGGGAAGACATGCACACAAGCTCCGACCGTGCGCTGGCAGGAGTCACTCCCAGCCACCATTGCTCCACGGTGCAAACTGTCCAGACCGTTTATAAAGTCGCTTACTGCAATGACTTTTATTGTAGGTATCTGTATACAAATCCTCCTCCTATTAGATTGTAAATCTGTGGATGGTAAAAATTGTGTCTATACACAAATGGCTATAACCAGTTAAATGACCTCAGGGCTTCAGAGTTCAAAATGGAGAGTCAGACCCAAACTAGGTAAATTCCACAGTTCTATGTCTGATCTGCGTGTCTCCTAAATTTCTCAGTCCGCTGCTCTGAATGAGGGCATTGGAATATGAAGTCATATTGGACCCAAAATAAAATCTGCCTTGAAAAAGGTGAAGTAAAGGAATATATGGTGGCATTTTAGGATCACAGATAAAAAATATGATCACAGAGGATTCTATATGACCACTTTTCTTTAGACAGAGTTGAAGAATAAGACAGTAGCTCTTTTGCTGTAAAGGAATTCCATTAGCTCAGAAGTCTTGGACTAAAGTGTAATCACTGGAAAGAAAAAAGAGCACAATGAGATATTAAAAGAAAACTAAAATAGTGAAACTAAAAACTAAAAGAAATCAGACTCTGATTGGAGCTGAGAATGAAAATAGTATCTTTTGGAAAATTTCGAAAGTAAACAACATCTGATTCAAGAAAAGTGAAATTCTTAAGCTTTTCTATGCCCATTTTTTGATAGGTAGCCATGAGGGTTAGTTTAAATCAAATTGAACTCTCAAGAGTTTAAATTCACATGAAAGGCAAATTCTATTCAGTTTTTGCTCTAAGTAGGATGAAATACAGGTAAGCTACGGCACAAAAGTAGACTTGTGTCAGTTCACTCAGAAATAGTTAAAATATGTGAAAACACAGGTCCTCTGATACTTTTCATAATATATGCTTCTGCCTAAGCCCTGGTTGTTTCAATTCTATTCCCCACTCTTACTCCTTTAATATCACAAACTCCAAGCCAGGTTTGTTTTCCCAGTGTGGAGCGGTGTGGGCAGTGCTGCGGTCAGGGGATGAGTGAGGCCAGTAGCAGCGAGGACAGTGAAATGCTGTAGGGTCAGGGCTGTGGGGGGAAGGCCACGAGGAACAGGGCTTAGCAGGAGTCAGGCAAGTGGAGGTGGCAGAGCAGGCGTCAGAGCACAGGCTCCAGGAGTCCATCGGAAGGGCCAAGAAGGAGGTGTGCTGTGTCCCTAACAAAGTTCCATTAGAAAGTCTGCTGGTCCTGCTGTAACTTTTTGTCATCTCACATGTCTGGAAAGAGTGAAACCTTGCTAACGTAAGACCCACTTTCACTTTAAGGTGGAATCCTTTGTTTAGTTTTCGTAACTTTCCTCAGGCACAGATCATCTAGGAGTGCAGCCGTTATTTGACATTATCTACGGTAATGTGTATGCCTGTACACCTTAGATGCAGGGAGAAAGTAAGATACTGTGATTTTGGAAATGGCCTGATGGCACGGAGCATCATAGAATAGTTTTACTTTTGGAGGCAATTAATTCCTGGTAATCTTAATATTTATAGTTAAACTGCTTTGAAAACTGACTAAAAAGCTGGCAAAAATTGGAGCCAATAGGTAATACATTATTTTATAATACACAGAAACACAAGATGTAAAGTATTATGTCCTCTGAGGAATGAACAGTGCAGAATAGACATCCAAAGAGAAAGAAAGAAAGAAAGAATATCAGAGAAGCATGGATGAAATCTGACAAGAGAGATTAAATGAATAATGAACACAATAATTTAATAGAAAACAGGTGGGAGAAGAGGTGGGGGCTCCCTTTCCGTGCCGAATCCAGCTAAAAATCGTCTATGTTCAATACTTTCTCATTGAAAAACAAGGCAGACTTTTAGGGATGATTTTCATTTTTATCATATAAATGAACTGATTAAACCTTCCTAAGCACAGAACTTCATAGTGGAGTAGCACCACGCTAGCCAGTAAAGTCTGTCCTTCTAGGTTCCTAAGTAGGTACAGAAGGCAACTCATAAGCAATGCTAACATGGCTGGCATTGTTTCCTTGTTCTTATTTTTGTCAGAGTTTCAAAGGTTTCAAATTTATTCACAAAAACTCATATATATACATGTATGTATATTCCCCTTTCAGAGTAACATTATAAATGATTATGAAACACCAGACACAAATTGGCAGGCCCCGAGTACTCTTAAACGACACTACATCGATGTACCTATGTAACAAATTGTCTTACAAGGAGCCTATCCTGTTTATTTTGAAATTCATTATGATCACAAATAGAAAGATAATAGCGGATTTCTAGCACTAAATTACCAAGCTGCTTCTTATCCAAGCTCTGCACTTGCTTGTCAACTGGTGACTCATACAGTAAGTCCCATTTAATTAGTGGCTCTGCAGGAGAATGCTAAGAATTCATAAATTTAGAAGTTGTGTAAATGGGTGAAAATTCTTTTAATTATAGTTATAAATACTCTGGAAATAAGGAAGCATGACAGAGAAGACAGATTAGGAATACCACCACCTTTCACTTACGCCATTTTGAAGCATAACACGCAACATCCTACTGGTGAAAAAGAAGTAAATTGTTCACTTCTGGTAGGTGGTTTTGGGCAATCACGGTACATATGATAACTTTTACCTTCCGTTGCCCAAATGGTATCTAATGGTGTGAAAAAAGATTTTATACTTCCAAAAGATAGGTACCATTTCCACTTAAACTCTCTAATGTGTTCAGTTCAAATATTAAACCAAAAAACTGTAAATTCTTCTCAGTCTCTAGGACTGCATATTTAACAATTATTTAGCACAGTTTCCTAAGTTTATAAATATGTCTCCTTGCTTTAACACACTTAAAAATTTTTAAGTTTGCCCTATGAAAAATAACTAAATACAGTGAATTAACATACAATGTTTTATGAGACTTCCCTAGCTAGAGAATGTCAAGGAAAACAAACCTTAATCAAGTACAGACTAGTAATTACCTGGTTTAAGAGATCTTCCACTTTCTTCTGCCATGAATCCCTGGCTGCATTTTTCTCTCGCTCTTTTAACTGCAAAAGTTGAGACATTGCTGACTTCTTATCCTCTTCATGTTGAAGCCTTAACTCCTCACGAAGTTTAGAACACTCCTGTCTAAAATAAAACAAATGCATTTACTTTGTAAAGAGAATTATTCCTCTCAGTAATTGCAGTACCGTCATGCACTGCATAACCATGTTTTGATCAACGATGGGCCACATAAATGACGGTGGTCCCATAAGTACCATATGGCCTACGTGTGTAGTAGGCTAGACCATGTAGGTTTGTGTAAGGACACTCTATGATGTTTGCACAATGACGAAATTGCCCAACAATGCATTTTTCAGAACAAATCCCTGTCATTAGACAGGTTTCCTAAGCATTTAATTAATCCTCCTCAAAACTCTGTGACTCAGAGTAAGAGTAGATTATTTTATAGTTAAGGATTATAAGGTAAATTGGTAACTAACCCAAGATCATTGATTTATCAACTTATCAATGGCAGAATAGGTACCAGAACAACTAAGTCTTCTGACTTCAGGTTAGTGCTTCGCCTATTTTATATTTAAGAAAATGAAATCAGAAAAAAGTAAATCTATATTCAAGCAGAATAAAAGAATTTCAGTTTCTCTGTATCTAATCACAGGAAAAATTCATTAAAAATGCTGCTACTCTGCTTTAATAATAAGACAATATAAGCCATATAACAGAAAAACATATTCTGCACATCTGTATTGGTAAGATGACATTACAGAGTAAAAAATGTACCTAAGATTTTCAGTCCATTTTATTTCTAAGTCGTGGGCCATCTTGTCCACTCTGAGCTTCTCCTCTTCCTTCATGGCAGTAAGTGTTTCTTCATGCTGTTGCCTTTCTTGTTCTAGCTCACCCTGAAGAACAGAAACTTTTCAATGAAGACTAATCACCAAAAGCAGTCACTCTCGTTGTTTCAAATAAGAGTTCTTGCACCATGACTTTGAAATTCTTACAGCACCATAATTAATAGTGCTGTGAACGACCACTGCTTGAAATTTTCTGACAATAAAATGCCTGGAACATGTTTTATATTTTAAATGTCTTTGTCTAAACTATTTAAAATAATTTGTAAAATTATAAGCCTTAATAAAATATAGTTTGAAGTCAGTACAATTAGCCATCTTAACTAAACCTTCCATGTCATGGGTATCTAACAATAGATTGATTATCATCAATTATCTTGACAGGTACACACATTACATAGACAGATATGATATTCAATCTCATTCATCTTCATGTTTAAAAGTATGCTATTTATTCAGCGCTTAAGAATATAACTGTACCCCACTGACATGACTGAAATAATTATGAGAAAATTAGTCTATTTTTATTATGTAACTTCAAACCAGTGCTCCTTATGTTTATCGTTATAGTACTATGATATGATATATATGAAATCCCTGTAAATTGGCATAAATCAAGTGGCTCTCTGGAGCCTGGGGCTGGTGGTGACCTGTTTGGATAGCAATGACAACCATTGGTCCCCGCCGGCAGCGTAGATGCTCTGCGGCTACAAGAGAAGAGGAACAGCTCATGGTCCATCTTTCTGTTACCACGGTGACCCTTTCTGGATCACCCACTTGCTAGCAGCATGTGTCGTAGCAGTTGCTGAGGGGTGTTATCCAGGTTAGTGGGAAGGAAGAAGTCAATGCTGAAATTGCCATTCTACATCGTTGACCCGGCTATTAGACAGTAAGCACTGAAAACTGAATTCAACCATCTTAGCCAACTGTCCTTTTCTCTAAGTATTCAGCTCTAGGAACTATGTTCCACCCAAGGCAACGTTAAATGCAGTAGAATTACTTAAAAAGCATTTCTTTTACTGAATGTCAAGCACTTTACTAGACATTATTGGGGCAGGAAAAGAGGTAAAGAAAACACTTGCTCTTAAGGAGCTTACACAAAGTTGTGGTAAACTGTGACGTAGCACCGATACTTTCTCAATCAAAACTGTCCAGGAGAACAGAAAATGAATAGTTGATAAGGTTTTGCTTGAAATTTTTTTTTTTTTTTAGGAAGATCAATCCTGAGCTAACTGCTGCCAATCCTCTTCTTTTTGCTGAGGAAGACTGGCCCTGAGCTAACATCCATGCCCATGTTCCTCTACTTTATACGTGGGACGCCTACCACAGCATGGCTTGCCAAGCAGTGCCACGTCTGCACCTGGGATCTGAACCAGCAAACCCTGGGCCGTCGAAACGGAACGTGTGCACTTAACTGCTGTGCCACTGGGCCGGCCCTTGAAATATTTATTATGTTCTGCTATTTGACAGAACAATGTAAATACGAGCAAGGACCTTAAAGAAATGAAACTGAATCCACAAGCCTAATTCTCAGTGCCAGGCTGGGGGTGGGGTAGGGGGAAGCAACCCGGATAAGACACCTGATGGCAGGAGGTGGGCATGCACCAAGGAAAGGGACACACAGCCTCTAGGCACCATCTCAAAACCACTTATATTCTACCCACATTCGTTAGAAACATTTCCACTGTTTATTTTTAAATATATTTTTCCACCTTGACAATATCATTTTCCTGTTATTTTGGACAATGGAAAAAACACCTCTTAATGCAGTTTGGCCATACACTTCAGCTTCATGCCACAGTGCTAACACTGAGGTTATAGTCGATATGTTTGGCATCACATAGATTATATATATCATGTTGTGTATTATACCAGCACTAAATTCCAACCTATCCCTTGTTACATCTTAACATTGTCATATCACATAGCAACTAGAGACAGGTACAGAGAAGGAAAAGAAGACTCAAAGAAAAGGAAATAATCTGTTTATTTTGTCACAGAATTTAACAACAGAATATAATTAGTATTAAAAGTATACATATAGAGAGAATATAATTGTGTCTTATATAAAATAAAAGTGGAATTAAATATGGACCATACACACCAGGTACACCTCCAGTAAAGTGTCCTTAATTACATGCTTTTGAAATGTTACCAATTCTAAGCTCAAAAAATACAGACTAAAATAATATTAAATAAAAGGCAACATATACTAAGTGTTTATTTTGCTAGCACCATGCTGAAATGTTTTATCTCACTGAATTGTTACAATTGTGGTGTGAAGTGTGTCATTATCTCCCACCCCTCCTGCATTGTTCACATGAGGAAGTGGAGGCTTAGAATAAAAAGTTACACACTAGGTCGTGGATCCAGAATTCACACCAACCCATCTGACTTCACAGTCCACTTTCTAAATCACCTCTCTGAAAGAACCCCTGGTTTTATGGATTCTTTTCTCTGCTAAGGTAGTGTAAATATTTGCTCTGCTCCATGGGAGTGGAAAGAGAAACACAGAGCCTTTCTGAAATTTGTGGTCTCAGAGAACCGCTTAGTTGCCATACACGAGAGGTCCAGCTCTTCCCAGTAAAAGAATTGTGTATGCTAGTTATTATGGGTTGAACTGTGTCCCCCAAAATATATGTGGAAGTCCTGACCCCCTAGTGCCTCAGAACGAGACCTTGCCTGGAAATAGGCTCAGAGCAGCTGTGATTATTTAAGGTGAGGTCACGTTGGAGTAGGGTGAGCCCTTAAGCCAACATGACTGGTGTCCTTATAAGATGTGAGGACACAGGGAGGAGGCCATGTAAAGACGGGGGAAGACAGTGAAGTCATGCTGCCACAAGCCAAGGAATGCCTGGGGCTACCATGGGCTGGAAAAGGCAAGGAAGGCTCCTCAGAGGTTTAAGAGGCAGAATGGCCCTGACAACACCTTGATTTTAGACTTTCAGCCTTCAAAACTGTGAGGAAATAAATTCCCGGTGTTTTATGCCAGCTAGTTTGTCGTATTTTGTTACGGAAGCCCTAGGAAACTAATACACTAATTATATACAATGTGGTGTTTATAATAACCTTTAAGCAAAATGACTAACTTATATTTTTACCTTGATTATAGCAGGATTATGAAATTACCTCAGCATTTAATAGAGCATCCTTGGTCTCCTTCAGCCGGCCTTTAGTCAAGTCAAGCTCATTCTGAAGTCTTTCCTGCGAGTCCTGAAGACTAGCAATGAGTCCTTCTGCAGAGCCAAGACCCTGTTCTCTCTTCCTTACCAGATCCTGGAGGCGGCCGATCTGCAAACAAGCAGAGTACTTTAACACACCTCATTGTAACTGACCAGCACACAGTCATGTTTTTCTTCTTAAAGTCTTTTCTTTAGTTGTAATTTTACTAAACGGATCTTTTTTGATTAATCTGGAAGAAGCACTCAAATAATTACGATAGCCTTCATCTGCTGATTTTTGAAAAAAATCTCTATATTTATGATTTCTCTTTTTCATGACAACCACATAAATAAATGGATATACTTCAAGCTCCTGGTTTAATAAAGAGAATTCCTGGTCCTATCATATAATCAAATACCTATAAAAAGGAACTGATGCAAGATATAGATTGCAACAAAGATTGAGAAAAAAATATTCTTCTAAGTAAAAATATTTTTAAAAGTGCTCTTTAAAATTGAACCACTTAGGGGCCAGCCTCATGGCGCAGCGGTTAAGTGCACATGTTCCGCTTCGGCTGCTGGGGCTCGCCGGTTTGGATCCCAGGTGCAGACACGGCACCACTTGGCATGCCATGCTGTGGTAGGCGTCACACATATAAAGTAGAGGAAGATGGGCACGGATGTTAGCTCAGGGCCAGTCCTCCTTAGCAAAAAGAGGAGGATTGGCAGCAGTTAGCTCAGGGCTAATCTTCCTCAAAATAAAAAATAAATAAATAAATAAAATAAAATTGAACCACTTATATTTCATTTGAGCCCAGTCCTCCTGCTATTTATAAAGGTGATTAGTTTCAGTCAATATTGATAAGCTGGTAAATGTATCATAAATTAGAATAAGTTGTGATTTCTGTGTTTTCATACAAAACTTGTCTCATGAAATTGTTGAGTTGAATTTATACACTCTTGAAATTAGGAGAAAAGAGACAATTTGTTGATTAAGCAGATTCATACCCTCAAATTATGAGAACTAAAATCCATAAACGAAATACTTTAAAATGTCTAGGAAAATGCTATGAAGTACAAATCTTGTTTTTATGAAATGGCAAAGCCTACCAAACTCCACAAAATGAAAACTGGTAATTCAAAAATACTATCTGAATACTTCTCATTGTAAACACAGACATCACAAAGAAAACTACGCAAATTCTCCAACCGTGTCTGACTCACAATGCCGCACCCCACCCCCCCATGGCCTTCCTGTCCCCTCTCCGTGCAGGTGTATGCTGATCAATTCCAGTGATGGTAGGACTTATCTTGTTAGCATCTTTAAAGTGATGCTAAACTAACCACATAAAATGAGTGAGGAGCCCCCATTTTTTCTGTACACAGAAATACTTTCATAGCAAAGGATTTATCTGTTTCTTCAAAGTTCAGTAAAATTGATCCATTAAAATCCTCTGGGCCTAGAGCATTACTAGATACATGTTGGACTGGTTTTTTTAATATTTGCCATCTTAACCATTTTTTTAATAAAGACTGGCACCTGAGATAACTTCTGTTGCCAATCTTTTTCTTTTCTTCTTCTTCTCCCCAAAGCCCCCCAGTAAATAGTTGTATATTCTAGTTGTAGGTCCTTCTGGCTCTGCTATGCAGGATGCCACCTCAGCACGGCCTGATGAGTGGTGCTAGGTCCATGAGCAGGATCCCAACCAGCAAAACCCTGGGCTGCTGAAGCGGAGCACACGAACTCAACCACTCGGCCACAAGGCTGGCCTCTGTTGGACTGCTTAATTTCTTTCATGGTTATAATTAGTTTGGTCAGGTTGTTCAAGTACTAGGAGTCATTTTAGAAATTTAAATTTTTATACAAATATATCTTCTTTTCTAATTTTTAAAATTTACTGGCATATTTGTATATAGTATTTATTTACAATGTTTTAAAATTTTCTCTTTCACTGTATTTATGTCCCCTTTTGCTATTTTATATTGTTTACTTGCATCTTCTATATTTTTTGTGTTGATCTGGCTTGCCATAAATGTGTATTATAGGGGTGAATGAATGAATGTAAGGAAAAGCAGCTGTAACAGAGCTGAAAGAGTATTGAACTTAGCAGAAAATCTAGTTTCAGGTTCCTAGTCTGCCACTATAAAATTGGAGTAAAAATACCTACCTCACAGAGTTATTATAATAATTAAATTCAAGGATATATGGGAAAAGATTCTTTAACTGGAAAGCAACATACAAATGCTAGGTGCCAAGCAATAAAGAAGGGACAACCAAATTTATCAACATAGAGAACTTTCTTCCACAATCCAGAAAATTTTCAGAGGAATAAGAGTTAACTGTACAAATACAATATACAAAAAAACTTAGAACAGTATTCTAGTTACTACATAAAGAATTAACAGAGAGGATCTGTTCAAGAAACTAAGAATCTAGAGACAAAATGAATATGTTTAAATAGGCAAAAACTTTAAAATTCTGCACAACTAAATATAATAAGCAAATAAGTGATGAGCACAATGATGAAAGTTTGTTTTCTAAAATATAATAAAAATGGATATGTGTGGAACACATCTGTTGTCTGCCAATATCCAAATCTCCTTTAGTCTTTTGGGGAATCTCCCCTTCTTCCCTATTGGTCCATGTGGTCTCAGTGTGGCTTCAACCCAAACTCACCTAAGTGTAAACCAATAACGTCATCTCATTCTGTTGGGCATGGGGATTGGATCAGGGCAGGCACATGGTTTAAGCCTATCTACTCACAGTGATCTCAGGACTTTTAAAGGACTTCCTAAAAAAGTTTTTTTCCAGTTGCACATGTGCTAAGTGAATGTATGACCAAAGCATGAAGTCAACACAAAGAGAACAAATCCAACTCAACAGAAAAAGAGAAAGTGAATTCCAATGTCTCCTATTTCAATTCTGAATCCGGTCACGCCTGATGCGAACATTACCCTGGGACTTCTCAGTCATATGATTCAATAATTTCTTTAGGCCAGTTTGAGTTAGGATTTCTGTCATTTGCAATAGAGATCAATACTCAGATTCTTCTTGATAGCGGGCACATTCAGGAAATACAGTTAAGTAGAAACCTCCTCTCTGGAATATCCATCCACACTTGCTCTTCTCTACTCCATTATTCTCCTTGCACCATCGGAGTCATTTTTTAATAAATTACAAACATGGACGTGAGTGTAAGTCCCGCCGCCAAGAAGCACCCACGTATTTTTACTTAGAATCTTCCAAATGCTTCCCGTTTCCCTCAGGATAACGTCCAAAATCTTTCATGCGGTTTACAAGGCCTCCATGGCATAGGCCCTGCCTAACTCCCCAGCCTCAGCCCGGCAGCTCTCCTCCTTGGTCTTTACACTCATTGGGAAGCTGAGTGGCACCGTGGTTGAGAACTAAGTTCTGAAGTCACACCTCCTGGATAGGAATTCTGGCATCACCTACTTACTAAGTGACCTGGGCAAGTTACATAAATTTTTTGTGACTTAGGAACTAATATTTACTGCATAGGGTTATTGTGAAAATTAAAGGACCGAACACTATGAAGGAGAGACGATGCCTAGGACACAGTAAGAACTAACATTTATTATTATTATAGTTGCTATCACACTCCATCTATACCAGCATCCCTCCAACTCCTGGAAACTTCTCATGCCTTAAGGCCTTTGCATAAGCTTTCCTCAGTTTATTCTTCTGGTAACTGTTTAATCATTTACCACCATTTTGCAATATGTCAGACGTGTAATTACTTGTTTCCATATCCATCTCTCCATGAAGGCAGGGACCGTGTCTTACTTATCTACCAATGTAACCACACTGCCTAACACAGTGCTTTGGTGCCAAAAACCATTCATTTATTGAATAAATGAATGAGTTAAGAACAGAAAAAGTTCATATATACTTAGTACAAATTAAGAAGAACTAAAATCTCTTTACCATCTCAAGCTGTAGGTGTTCAAGACCTCAATGCCTTCACTTTCTGGACCTCGTATTGTACCTGGGTGGTTGCTAGGCCATATGCCACGTCTAAGCAGAAAAAGGCAATTCCCCTCAGCTCTGGAAGCATCTCCAGAACATGAAAAGAGGAACAAAAAATGCTTCTGTGTGAATTAGAAAAAGACGTCCCATTCTTCTAGGCAGACAGAGTTCTGTGGACATTTAAGTTACATCTGAATTTCTTCTACTATAAATGACACTGAAATTCTGTCAATAATCCTTAATTATTTGCTTAGGTTAAATACCCAGAAATGCATGAGTCAAAGGACATGCCCATCTTTAAGGCTTTTGTTTTTTTGTTTGTTTGTTTTTGCTGGGGAAGATTCACCCTAAGCTAACATCTGTGGCCAATCTTCCTCCTTTTTCTTTCTTCCCCTCCCCCCAAAAAGCTCCAGTACATAGTTGTGTATAGTTGCAAATTCTTCTGGCTCTTCTATGTGAGCCACCACCACAGCATAGCTACTGAAGACAAATGGCGTGGTTCTGCGCCTGGGAATCGAACGCAGGCTGCTGGAGCAGAGTGTGCCAAATTTTAACCACTAGGCTATCAGGGCTGGCTCTTTATGGCTCTTACAATTGCTGCTAAATTCCACTCTGGGAAAATTCCACCTTTTTATATTCCCATCAGCAGCTTTTGAATGCTTATTCCTTTACTCTTATCAACACTGCACGGTCTCACTTAATTTTTTATCACTGTTAATTTTATGGTCATGGAAATGGTGTCTCATTGACTTCATTTCCAGTTTTTAAGTTACAGTAATGTTAAAATTGTTTTTTCATGTTCTTCAGCCTGTTAAAAAAAAGTTAGGGTGTCTCTATTTTTCTTATTGTTTTGTAAACACTCTTAAGGTGTTAAAGACATGAATTTTTGTTACTCATACAATTTGCCAACCACTTATTCCACCCTTCCTGGTTTTTCCTCTCTCATAATTTTACTTACATTGTGTTTTGATACACAGAAGTTTTAGCTTTAACTGTACAAACATTCTGTTGTTTTCCTTTTTTTGAGGAAGATTAACCCTGAGCTAATATCTGCCAATCCTCCTCTTTTTGCTGAGGAAGACTGGCCCTGAGCTAACATCCACGCCCATCTTCCTCTACTTTATACATGGCATGCCTACCAC